TACAGCTGATGTGCTTACGGTTATAACTGAAATTGCTTACCAAGCACTTCATAAAACAGGAGAAGCTCGTGCTGTGGCTCTAGATATCTCCAAAGCGTTTGATAGGGATGCCGGCATCCTTCGCAAGCGTCAAGGTTATGGAATTTCAGGTCGATTGTTTGACTTAATACAATCATTCCTATCCGACCGTGTATTGAAGGTCGTTCTCTACAGATTCTCCTCCAGCTCATATCCCACGAACGCAGGTGTTCCCCAAGGCTCTATCCTAGGCCCTAATCTGTTCCTTATCTTCATTAACGATCTTCCTGATGTCATAGGTTCCCAAGTAGGCATCTATGCGAAAGACGCTTCTATTTACTCCTGCCTCAAAAAAAAATCTAGTGTCGCCGACAAAACTAACCTGGCCGTTTGTCTAGAAAATGACCTCCAATCGGTTGTGGACTGGGGCAGGTATTGGCTGGTTAACTTTAATGCCTCAGAAACTGCATTAAAATGTCTGATGCTCAACTACATGAGAGCATCTACATTGTCTGCTGACCTAGAGATGGAACAAATACATTGAGAGAATAGCTTCGTCCACCGCTAGAAAAGTTGACTCCCTGTGCCGCGCCAGGAAATTTTTCTCCCTGGAACCGATCTTTCAAATCTACAAATCAACCATTCACCCTTGCATGGAGTATTGCTGCCATATATGGTCTGGGCCCCTTCTGTTTGTCTCAAGATCCTTGAGAAAATCCAGAGACGGATATGCAATGTAATTGACCCTGATCTGGAATCTCGTCTGCAGTCGCTCTCTCACAGACGCGCCGTTGCCTCCCTCTGTCTTTTTTTACAAATACTTTCACAGTAACTGCTCTGATGAGATGCTTTCGCTGGATCCCAGACTTCATGAATTTAAGCGCTTAACTAGGCTGGCATCTCGCTCTCACCCCTTCACTGTCGAAACTGTTAAATATAGCTGTCTCTTATATTCCAATAGCTTCATATCTCGCAGCTCTCGCCTGTGGAACTCCCTTCCCATTTCCTGTTTCCCTGATAGCTATAATCTCCAAATATTCAAATGTAATATCAATCGACATCTCCAGATGCCTTGATCTATCCCCTATCCTTCTCTTCATCCTTTCCTCTATCACACCTCCTTGCTCTTGCTCCAACTCTCTGTAACCCCTTGCGTGCTAATGGTCTCCCGCCTTGCTTGGGATGAAATACTTAATATATATATATATAGTCTTAAGGTGTGTTATATTTATGGGATAAAGTGCTCAATATCAGAGATAGAGCGTGTATAACGTGTATAAATATAAAAGTGAACATTGAAGTCAACACTTAGAGGCGACAGTCAGTTTCATGCTAGATGCAATCGTCAGGCCTGACAATTGCATCTGGCATGACACAGACTGTCGCCTCTAATGTTAAATTCAATGTTCACTTTATATATATATATATATATATATATATATATATATATATATTATTTGGTGGATTTGAATAATCATAATTAATACAGCGAGTCTAAACGAATCCTCAACAAAATGCAGAATGAACTAGACGGCCGTTTCGTCCTATTTTTTGGACTCATCAACAGTGCGCGTTCAGTGAAAATGAAACTGTTATACGCTTTTGACGATATTATACTTTATTTTGCATATTTTTTTCCAAAATATGCAAAATAAATTATAATGTATTTTTAAAGAAATCACATCATAACCAAAAATATTTGCTGTTTCTCTCTTTTTAAAATTTACACTTTTCTCTCGTTGGAACAACTATAACCTCTTCCTTGCAGTTACACACACACACACACACATATATATATATATATGTGTGTGTGTGTGTGTGTGTGTGTGTGTGGTGGACTCTCTCGTCGTATTTGAGGTATGAGTGTCAAGCAGCTCACTTCCTAGGAACCGAAAGCCCGACACCAGCACATGAGATTTGATTGTAGTAGTGAAGGCTTTGTGCAGAACCATCCACACTTTTTGAAGGGCCAAATACAGAGACCTGCTGCACTACGGGTCACAAGTTCCCAAACAACCTTCTGTATGTTTTGAATTCAGAGTTGTCCTTCTCCTAGGCCAGTTGCCATCCAAGGCTATAGAACCCAGTCTGTCCTGCACTTTACCTACAACTGGAGGGAGAAGAAGAGGATTAATACCTTTCCCAATAAAAGGTGTACTGTTACCAATATATGGCAGCAGGGCACCATATTCGGCCTGATATGGCTCTTGTAACGGTAGAGGATAGTAGAAGGTGTTGGGTTCTTACTAGATGGGTGATGATAAAAACTAGAAGCAACAGAAGTATATTTCTACAGAAGGATGCTGAGGATGCCATTGACTGAACATGTGAGCAACGACGAAGTTTTAGAGAAAATAGAAACAAAAAGGAAACTTGTAATTAACATCAGAAAGAGACAGTTGAGATTTCTGGAACATATGATGAGGAAAGAGGGCTTAGAAAATCTGATACTCTCAGGACGAATAGGGCGGATAAAAAACAATTTATAACATAGTGACTTTGAGTAAATAGATGTCGGAACAGACTTTAAGAGAAATAACAGAAAGACAAAATTTATTAAGAGCTACAATGGACAGGAAGTTGTGGAAAGCCATGACCGCCAACGTTACTGAGGGGACACTGCACATAAAGAAGAATAAAACAAAGAACATAACATTTTCCCAGAATCTTTATCGAACACAACAGTTTAAAAATTTGAGTCCACCCCTTAGTATTTTTTAAATAGGCCCCAAAAGTAGTTGTTTTTTACTTTAAATAAGAGATAATTATTACACATGGTTAAAAAAAATTTGAAACATGATTTTTTTTATTAGAAATTTTATTATGAAAAAAAGAAAAAAGCATTTTATGATTAACAAATAGTTTTAAAGTATATAAGTTTTAACTAATAGTTTTAAATAGTTCTCTCTTTTTAAAAAAAGATATTTATAGATTTCAATAACTTAGTTACCTCCCCATGACGTATGAACACGTGTCTACTTGATAAAATTTATGAATTTTACAGTACATAAATTTAGCGTTTTTCACTTGACACGTAAAAATTTAATTTTCAGATGAACATAATTTTGTCTTAGAAAATGATGAACACAATCTTTTGTGTTAGAAAAAACAAGACCCTGATGACGACATTGTGCTAATGTCGAAAGTACTCGGAATAAAATGAATATGTATCAACATGTTAATTTTCTTTCTTCCTTTAATAAGGATACTAAGATACTTATCCGTAATTACGAGAGGATCCTATTAAAACTAAGTAAACAAAACTTGTCTAAATTATTTAATGAGACATGTCTTAATTGTTTTATTTAGTATTTCCAGCGTTCTTACATTTATTCCGATTGGTCGAACTGAGCGAATGCAATAACTGTCAATATCATCGATTGTTCGAAGCACTTTCGATCACTTCTTTTGCCATTTTCAAGGTTGTTTTTTTGGTAATGTTAGTTTATTTTCATGTTTTCATTGTGTCAGATGTATTATTTGTGAATGATAAGAGTAGCCTTAATTCCCAGCCATCATGTGTTGGGCATGGATGGAATTCGAGTGGGCGGCATTCTATTTTTAAAAGACGTCGAGCATTCCGTTACCATTGTTAAACACGGTAAGGGTGATGGTGGGTGAGAGATGTCTGATCTACAGGTCCTCTCTTATAATGGAGTGTTTTCCGAAATTTCATTTACAAAAGACTCTAGTGGTTTCGACGTGTATCTCTTTTGCCTTCTCCATCATATTTAACGAAAGATTTTTAAGAGAAAATTTGCTGCCAAAATATACATTAATCATATATATATATATATATATATATATATATATATATATATATATATATATATAGTTAAACCTAGAGAGCCAGACAAACCTACCAAGGTTTCACCTAAGCAGATCGTCAAGAAATTCTGGCCAGCCTTCCCTGACGATCCGTTTAGGTGAAACCTTAGTAGGTTTGTCTGGCTTTCTAGGTTTAACTAGGTCTGCTCTACTTACTGTATTGAGCAATTTATTTAGTTATTTTGCTTAATCCTATCGGTTTTTTTTTCTTTGGACTTTTGACTTGTATGTTAGACGATTATTTTCCACTGACGTACATATTCTTTGTTCTTTCTTTTTTTATATCTTTTTTCCACTTTGGTGGCGGTTTGATTATTTTTTAAATCAAAACACCGAAGGTTTCCCGAGCGAGTACAGTATACTTATAAGATTTCTATTAATAATAATAATAATAATATATATATATATATATATATATATATATATATATATATATTAATGTATATATATATATGTATATATATATATATATATATATATATATATATATATATATATATATATATATATTAGTGAATATCAAACACTTAAAATACTAGAGGTAATAATCTTTATTTCAAGAAAAGTATAAAAGCAGTTTTCAATCTTTCAGACCTGCAAAACCAAATATAAACGGAAAAATTACTCCAGGTTAAATTCAAGATATACAGATATTGTACTGAGGAAGAGGGAGTGGGAGGAGAGAGAGAGAGAGAAAGAGGAAGAGAAAAAGAGAATATATATATATATATATTTATATATATATATATATAACCACAACATTCTACACGTAAGAGCATATACACATTCTACACGTACGAATATACACACATGCGCGCGGGTAAGCGCTTGCACAAGCCCGCACACGCGATCACATGTACATACACACTATGAGAGCAGAAGAAGAATCAACCTTGTACCAATAAATTGTGCCTACATTATTTTTGTAACTTAATATAAACGTGACAATAAGAAGAAAATAAGCAGTCAACTACTGGTGTCTCCTGACGAGTGGATGAAGCGATTGCTGGAGGGTCCGTCTACTATATAGATGACATACATTTTTACTAATCCCATATATATATATATATGTATATATATATATATTGTCAATCCTTGGATTTTTTTCATTATCCAAGTTACTTACATCAGTAAGCACAAACTCTGCTCAGCACATGGCTCTCAAGGGAAGGATACTTATCTGCATGTTCACTTCAATAGTATATGGCACAAGGCCAAGATTCTCGAGGGAATCTGGCTAACATACGTTTCTGAAGTGGGTATAAGGTGTCGACTTAATAGTTTTGTTCACTCAGCGCTATTTTGCATAGGGCTGTATAGAAACGTAGACACAGACAAATTCTATATTTTTTTTTGCTACCAGTTTAATTAAGAAGTGAAAAGTTAAAAAGAACAGAAGAGAACACCCAATACTAGAATATATATATATATATATATATATATATATATATATATATAGAGAGAGAGAGAGAGAGCTTTAAGGTATGGTATATTTATCGGATACTGTGAGCAATATCAGAGATAGAGCGTATGTAAATATAAATATAAAAGTGAAGATTGAAGTCAACACTCAGAGGCGACAGGCTGTTTCATGCTAAACGCAATTATCAGGCCTGATGATTGCGTTAAACATAAAACAGTTTGTCGCCTCTGAGTGTTGACTTCAATCTTCACTTATTGTTGTGGATTCCGGGATGAAATCGGGTACCAATAAATAACAAATGCCAAGAATGAATATAGGAAAATAATCTATTAACGTAATAATACAAACTGGTAATGCAGGTTAGTAGTTCCAGGAATACGAGTTAGTAGCAATATATATATATACAGTCTTTGGTATTGAAGTGTCGCTGTATGACTTCTTACTGAGTCTACGTACTCGCTCACTGCGACTCTTGCTCGCTACGTTCGTTCTGTCTGTCTGTCTGTCTGTCTGTTACCTTCACCCTCGGTTGCTCTCCCGGGTCTTCATGTAGCAGTAGTATATGTATATACTGGTTGAGTCCATTTGTGTAAAAAGGGGAGAAACCCTCAACACACACACACACACACACACACACACACACACACACACACACACACACATATATATATATATATGATAAGGAACAAATAAGAAACCATTATAAATTTCCTATGTGTTTCATTCGTATCATTCTGTCGAATTCTATATAAACATAAACGCTAATTTACATGTAAGTTATATATTTGTGCATGTGTGTATTTATTTAGAATCCTATATGACACGCTTCGTCCTGTGAAATAATTTCTTGAGGCTAAAGAGAATATATATATATTAAGACAGCTTGTCCATGAATATGAGAGGACCCTACTGACAAAGAAGTAGAAAAAACTTGTCTAAATTATTCAATGAGACATGTCTTAATGAAAACATGCTGCCAAAACACACACACAATATATATATATGTATATATATATATATATATATATATATATATATATATGATAAAAATAGTTTTAATATCTGTTATATTTATGGGTTAAAGTACTTAATATTAGGGACAGAGCGTATGTAAATATAAAAGTGGACATTGAAGTCAACACTAAAAGGCGACTGTCTGTTTCATACTAAAGGCAATTACCAGGCTATGTGCATTGTTTTTGCCCGACCATTTATATATACAAGTCAATGATGCATTGTGGGTAGTCTATTGTATTGTTCTATTGCTCCTTTTTGGTAGGCGTTAACGGTTTTGAATTCTTCAGTGGGCTCTTCAGTGGGGAAAATTACTAGATCCGAATGCAGTTTTGGGGTTATTTATACTGTTGTTAACTTTTTTTAAAAAATTTAATATTGATTATTTTATTGTTCACTGTTATTACGTTTACTTGTTTTTATGTGTCCGTTTGTGCCTTGTAAATTTGTTTATTATTTACTTAGTTTATTTAATTATTTATTTGCTTGGATTAATTTATTTTACTTCTTTTTGTTTATTTATTTTATTTATTTATTTTTGTTTATTCTTGTTCATTTTCAGTTTTCGATGTTTAAGTAATGTATTAAAAATTTGTTATTGTGTCTGCATTTTCAGATGAGTTCTGATCGTTTATTTAGTAGTTTGTTTTTGTCTGGGAAGGCATATATAGATATTTTTTTCTCCAGGCAGAGTTTACAGTTTTGGATTGATTCTTGTAGGCTGATGTTCTTTTCCTTATTTTCCATGAGAGTGTAAGTGTGAAATGTTTTTAATCTCCCATATATCTTTAGAAAGTATTGTGCTGTTCGTGTATTTACTATTTGTAAAAGATGTTTTATGTGTGTTCTTTCTTTGTTTCCAGGCTCGTTCAATTACTCCTATGTATATATTTTCTTCGTTATCTGCTGATTTTACAGTGGCTTGGTGTATGACATTGTTCTGCAAGCAATTGCCGTTTAAGGGACATTTTTATTCTGAAGTTACGCGTGAGTTTAATTTGTTCGAAGCCCTAACCCAGCAAACAGGGTCACTCGTCTAAGGTTTTTAGTATTTACTCAGGCATTAAAAATCTGGCTAAATGAGAGATAATTATTGTTCTTTTCGTGCTTTCTTTCTTTTTGTTTGACAGTTTTCTTTCTTTGATTCAAGTCTTTCTTTCTTTCTTGTCGTCTGGTCTAATAGTTTTCTTTCTGTCTTTTCGTTTACCGTTTTTTTTCTTTCTCTTCGTCAACCAGTTTTCTTACTTTCTTTTCTTTTGACAGTTTTCTTTCTTTCTTTTTGTTTACCAGTTTCCTTTCTTTCTTTTCGTTTGACAGTTTTCTTACATTCTTTCTTTCTTTCTTTCTTTCTTTCTTTCTTTACATCTGACAGTTTTTTTTTGTCTTTTTCTTTCTTTTCGTCTGACAGTTTGCTTTCTTTCTTTTTGTTTGGCAGATTTTTTTTGTCGTCTGGTCTGATAGTTTTCTTTCTTTCTTTTTGTTTACCAGTTTTCTTTCTTTCTTTCCGTCTGATAGTTTTCTTTCTTTCTTTTTGTTTACCAGTTTTCTTTCTTTCTTTCCGTCTGATAGTTTTCTTTCTTTCTTTCTTTCTTTTTTTTCGTTCAAGTCTCATTTTCAGTTACTTTTTTTAAATTTCTGATTTTCGCGCTGTTTGTCCCCGGGGTCGAAAATGTGATAAAAACCAATAATAGGTTATGGCCGTATATTAATAATCGTAATATACTGCTAGATTTATTAAGTAATTAGTTCGTTAATTATTACATATGTTAAGAACAGCCACAGATAAACAGTCGTCCATTGCTGTTTAATTGCGAGGAAAGACAGAAAAAAAAGGTATGCCAAAAGCACTAGTTGGTTTTCGGGGAAAATGAAAGAAACAATCAGAACTAAAGAAAAAAAAAAACGAAGATGCGATAACGCTCTTGTTTAATGGTGATTTTCTAAGCGTAGCTTAGATGTGGCAAAGACCGAAAATAGTGGGCACACAGTGAGGGTCGAAGTCACTATTCATAATTGAACTAGCGAGACAAGATTTCTAAACATTGCATCACGTAGATGCCCCCTCCTCCTAGCCCATTATAGTGATTTTCTAAGCGTAGCTTAGATGCAGCACATGATCGAATGTATGAGCCACTCAGTGAGCATCGAACTCACCATTCAGTTGTAATTTATATAGCGAGAGTGTTCTTGCTAACTATTACACCTCATCGAAGTGACCACGCTCTCGTGCTTAACGTGTGCTTCAGCAAAATAGAAAAACTTGTCAATTTTAAATCTTTTCATTTGTACCCCCTTACTTCTTTAGATAATGACCCGCATTCATACTTATCATTGTTATTGCAATGTTTTGTTAAAGTTCAACCCAAATATTTAACATTTTGGAACTCACCATGAGCTTATTTAAACATTAACTGAACCCATTATCGCTTTACCGGTGGTACAGAAAAATGACGTAATGCCCAGTCACCGGTTGAACGGTGGGTAACCACTTGTAACTATTTTGATATCAACCGTGAAACATTACATACAAATTATTTGCGAATTTTGACTCAGGAGCTCAGGAAGAAGGGTTAAAATTGTTCAAGAACGCAGGGGTCAAAGGGTTAAGAATTCTGATTCAACTGAAAATTCAATTAAAAGAACCGCGAATTTTTCTCGAGTACTTTTGGGTTATTATAATTTTAATAATGCAGAAAATAGTTTCTCATCATCGCGAGAAATTCGACTAACGCAGCAGATGATCGCATCTGCCTCGAAGCGTAAAGCAGAGGATGGTGGAGATAAAAGATTGCCCTTCAAGTCAGACTTGGTCACTGAAAATAGTCTGTCAAGTGTTGATAGGAAATTTACTTGAGCAGCTGCATCTCCATTTTGCTGACAGCCCCCACCCAACACATTTGAATGCATGAACGTGTGCTATGTTGAAGTCTGTCGTGTTTTTGGAAACATGTGGCTTAAAAGTTAAAAAAAATATATTGCGCTTGTTAACAGATGTCTTTACATATGTCTCCTCCTGTTCACTAAGGGATAGTTTCAAGACCCCCAACGGATTTCAAACCGCGGATGGTATCGAACCTATATATATATATATATATATATATATATATATATATATATATATATATATATATGTAAGCAAATATATGGATATAAATCCGACAGTATGAAAGAAAATACAGAAAAAACAAACAAAATCTGAATATGCAATTATGTAGTATTAATGTTAAAATAAAGTCGACGTCGGACGTTTCGGTCTATTTAAGACCATCTTCATGGACATTTTCATTTAAACATAATTAACATTAGAACTTATAAAAATTTTAGCACAATCGACTTTTTAATATTTTAATTTTTTGGAAATCATCTTCGAATACGTTTTAACAACATCGCCCATGTGACGACTACGTGATCATATTTAAACGGAACGCTGATCTTGTATAAAATTTCAGTTATCTGTTTGGATTAGTTGGGCTCTTATGTCCATCGTCTTTTGTGTTAAAATTTTTATAAGTTCTAATGTTAATTATGTTTAAATGAAAATGTCCATGAAGATGGTCTTAAATAGACCGAAACGTCCGACGTCGACTTTATTTTAACATTAATACTACCTAATTGCATATTCAGATTTTGTTTGTTTTTGCTGTATTTTTCTTTCATATATATATATATATATATATACGTAGCAATGAGGGAGTGTTAATTTACACATTAAACACAATGAGAAATTCAAATCAACGGCAAATAATTAAATGAAGTGAATATGACCATATCAAACTAGTAAGGTTCCATCATACCTGAGCAGACATTGAACAGTTTCATAATCATTTCAGCCCAAGTAAGGCAATAAAACCACTACGACGCAAGACGTTACTGAATGAGAAAGAAAACATTAAAGAGAGAGAACAATAAAAGAACAGGAATTAAGACAATAACGATTGACATTGCATTTAAATATTTGAAAATCAAAGTTGACTGGAAAACAACAAGCCTTGAGTGAATTCCAAAATAGTAAAGTGAGAGAAAAAAAAACCGTTCCTATAAAACTTACGGTTATATCCAACAATTTCAACTGTAAAATGATGAGACCTTGCCGCCAATCAAGTCATGCGCTTAAATTCATAAAGTCTAGGTACCATAGAATAAAGTGTATTGGACCCAGAATAGGTCGGAAAAAAACTCGAACTCAGCAATTTAGTGAAAACGTATTATTAACAAAAAGAACGAATACAAAAGTGTTGCACGTCCGACTGACGGCAAAGTATAGTAGTCAATTCGTCAACTGTAGACAGCGATATTTAGTTACCCCCCCCCACGAGGGTTACATGTGGTACAAGGCCGGTTTAACGTGGGATCTCCGAGCCCGTAGGCTCGGCCAAAAATAACCCCTCTTTGAACCCGCATAAACGGTTTCAGAGGCAGTCAATCTCCCCGAACGAGACTCTTCCCTTCGGCGGAGTCTCGTCCGGGTTCCTCTCCGCTCGAAGGCAGCGAGTTCGACTGTTTAGCTGGAACAGGTCAACTGTAGACAGCTCTCTTGAGAGGCATAATCTCCTCGTATATATAGTAATAGGACGAGTCCATTTAGTTCATAAAGGTAGGTCCTATAACAGAAAGTAATATTTATTTTGAAAATGCAAAAATACGATACAAAGACAAAAGAAAAGATAAGAGAAGGCTGATCTTTAATCTGTTTTATCTTAAACTCAGCTAGCCACGACTACTGACGCAAACATACCACAGTATTCCTTACATCAAAACAACACATTTTCCCGTACCATTCTTAGTGAAACCACTATAATTCCTCGGAATCTCTATGAAGACAGAATTAGTTCCCATATGTACTATCTTTGCAACGGCGTGATCAAAGTGTCTGACGCCTCATAACATGAAATATTTGCAACAGCCAGATCAAAGTATTTGACTCTTCCTAACACCAACTATCTTTACAACTGTCGGATCAAAGTATCTAATTCCATCTGGCAATACTATATTTAGAACTACCAGATGCAAGTGTCTCACTCCTGTCCTCGTCACAAACCAGATCAATTATCTGATTTCTCCCTTAGTGCTATATCTTTACAACAGCCAGAACTAAGTATCTGACTCATCCTACCATGCTGTATAAAGATACAGACAAATCAAAGTATCTGATTCCTCCTGCCAAGTATTATCTTTACAACTGCTAAATCAAAGTACTTCATGTTGTTCATCATGACGGTCGTCTTTGAGTATAGAATCCAGAGGTTAGCAGTGAATATTTCGAAGACAGTAGGGAAGCGTTGTTCAGGTTAGCAGTGGATATTTTGGTAAAAGTAGCAGAGCATAGTTCGTCCTTCTGTTCCTCTTCGCCTGACAAGCTGGAACTGGACATTCGGGTAGAGTAGACAAAATGGCCGCCTTTATACACGACGGATTGAATATTCTACGTCTTCTGATTGGTTAACCTTCCATTAGTGAACTATAAAGTGAGTCATCAATTTTGACTGGCTCACTAGTACATAATATATACAAAAAAAATGCAACACTTCACTCCTCCTGTCATCGTTACAAAAGCCAGGTCAATTATGTAATTCTCCCTTAGTGCTTTATCTTTACAACATCCAGAACTAAGTATCTGTCTCCTCCTACTATGCTGTATCTTTACAACAACCAGATCAAAGTATTTGATTCCTCCTGCCAAGTACTATCTTTACAACTGCCAGATCAAAGTGTCTCATTTTTCCTGTCATCGTCTATCGATACAACAGCCAGATGAATTATCTGGTTTCTCACTTAGTGTTCTATATTTACAACATCCAGAACTAAGTATCTGTTTCCTCCTAACGTGCTGTATCTTTACAACAGCCAGATCAAAGTATCTGACTCCTCCAGCCATGACCTATCTTTATAGTGTCCAGATGAAAGTATCGGACCCTTCCTGCCATGCTCTATCTTTACAGCATCCAGATAAATGTAACTTGTTCCTCCTGTCATACTCTATCTTTACAAGTGTCATATAAAATTTTTTGACTCCTCTTGCCATCCTCTATCATTACAAGAATCAAAGTATCTTCCCTCTTCATCTTGTGTGCAACAACCTCAAAGCGTTACTCTCTCTACATTGAGTGTCTCATTGTCCTTGTTTTGGGTGAATATTAAAAATAAAATTATATAATGACAAGTGCATGCTTGATGCAGGTTTCGTTTTCATCGTACACCTTCTTTCTTTCCTGCTTAATTCTCGCTTTCCAGCCTTGACAGAGTTCTAAACTGTTTAGGCGGTTTTGTAAGGGATTACTTATTTTTCACTCTTCATCCTCTTTCCCCATAGACATAAAGTTGCAAGTCTGTTGCTTTTCTATCACTAGTACCCAGAAGAGTTCCACTCTTTACTTCCAACAGATCAGTCCTTTCCAGCTACAACTCACCATACTACCATTAGTGCTTCTCACTAATCTATTTCTATTTCCATGACAAATGTTCAGATACCTTCCACTCTTTTTTTCCACCAGTTCAGATCGTTACAGCCACATGCCACATCCAAAGAGTCAAATATGGTCTGGGGCCCATTCTGTCTGCCTCGGGGTTCTTGATAAGCTCCAGAGGCGGATATGCAATATAATTGGCCCTGTTCTAGCATCTCGTCTACAGTCGCTCTCTCACAGACGCGCCGTCGCCTCTGTCTGTCTTTTTTACAAATACTTTCATGGCAATTGCTCCGATAAGCTGCTTTCACTGGTTCCCAGACTTCATGAATTCAAGCGCCCTACGAGGCTGGCATCCCACTCTCACCCTTTCACTGTTGAAACTCCTAAATGTAGCCGTCTCTTCTACTCCAATAGCTTCATGTCTCACACCTCTCGCCTGTGGAACTCCCTTCCCTATTCCAGTTTCCCTGAGAGCTATAATCTCCAACTATTCAAATGTAATGTCAATCGACATCTCCAGTTGCCTTGATCTATCCACTATCCTTCTCCTCATCCTTTCATCTATCACTCCTATCTGATCTTGCTCCAAATCTTCTGTAACCCCTTGCGTCCTAGTGGCTTCTCGTGAAACGCTTAAAAAAAAAACAATCCACATTTCCACCTTATTCCATTTCGAAAGAGGAAGATCCGTTCAGAGATTTTTCCCCGAGAACCTACGTGTGAATGGTTCTCTGAAACGTATAATCTTAGGCTTTTAAGTCAATGATCAATCGATATCAGTTTTCTTTATCCTCATAAACCTTGTTTTCTTTTACGTCTTACATTCAATAAATAAACCTCATTCAGTAAGCCTCTTCCATGAGTGATTCTTAAGCCTTCTATTAAGTGAAATTCCGTCTAAATAAAGTCAAAGAATTCTTACTCGACGCTTTGTCTTTGATGTGTCCAAAGCGACAACAGTTGGGCCTAGGGGTCTCTTTTAAGAAAAAAAACCGCGGAAAACGGGACCCTAATCCAGCAAACAGGTCACTGGTCTAAGGTTTTTAGTATTTACATCGGCGTTACTAAATCTGGCTAAATGAGAGATAATTGTTGTTCTTGTCGTCTGAAAGTTTTCTTACTTTCTTTTCGTTTGACAGTTTTCTTTCTTTCTTTTCTTCTGACAGTTTTTTTCCTTTCTTTCTTTCTTTCTTTCTTTCTTTTCGTCTAAAAGTTTTCTTTCTTTTTTGTGTACCAGTTTTCTTTCTTTTTTTTGTTTGACAGCTTTCTTTTTTCTTTTCGTCTACCAGGCTTCTTTTTCTATTTTTTCTTTTTTCTTTGTTTTCGTCTGACAGTTTTCCTTCTTTTCGTCCACTATTTTTCTTACTTTCTTTTCTTTTGACAGTTTTATTCTTTCTTTCTTTCTTTCTTTCTTTCTTTCTTTTCGTCTACCAGTTTACTTTCTTTTCGTCTGAAAGTTTTCTTTCTTTCTTTCCACCTGTTTTGTTTATTTGATTGCTTATTTCTTTCTTTTCGTTTATCAGTTTTCTTTCTTTCTTTTCATCCGACAGTTTTCTTTCTTTCTTTTTGTCTACAACTTTTCTTTCTTTCTTTCTTTCTTTCTTTCTTTCTTTCTTTCCTGACAGTTTTCTGGCTTTCTTTCTTTTCGTCTACCACTTCTCTTTCTTTCTTTTTGTCTGACAGTTTTCTTTCTTTTGTTTTCTTTCTTTCTTTTCGTCTGACAGTTTTCTTTCTTTTTTTCTTTGTTTGTTTTTTTTCGTCTCACAGTTTTCTTTCTTTGTTTTCGTCTCACAGCTTTCTTTCTTTCTTTTCGTCTGATAGTTTTCTTTCTTTCTTTGTTTTCATCTGACAGTTTTCTTTCTTTCAAGTATTTATTCAAGATGTTGGTTCCTTATTATGGCTCGGACACCCTTGCATTTAGCGAGAGCGAACTTTTTTCATGCCATGCCTCTTCGATACGTATGTGATTATGGATATCTACAACTCCCTTTTCTTTGAATTGAATCTATTTGTAGTTCTGCTGCGAGGAAACTTAGTTCACCTTGCCGTTCTAGACAAGTCTTTATTTCTCGCCAGAATCTATCTTAGAGATTTATAAATCCACGCCATTGGTCTATGCATTCAATATTGCTGTCACATCTGGTCCGATGCTTCTGCTGTGTATTTAGAGATTCTTGATAAAAAAGAATCTGCGATGTTAACCGCCCGACCTGATATCTCGGCTTCAGTCACTTTCCATCCGCCATAACGTAGTTTCTCTGTACTTTTTCTATTAATATTTTCATGCTAATTGTTCTGATGAGCATCCCTCTTTGTTACCTCGGCTTTATGAATTTAAGAGCAGTACTAGATTGTCAGTTAGGTTTCATCATTTTAGGGTTAATATGGCTACATATAACATAATTTTTATAACAAGTTTCATCTCTTGTACTTCTTGCTTGGGAAACTCAACATTGGTCCCTTGCTTAGGGAGATATATTTAAAATATGATAGAATTGCCATAGCTTCTTGGGAAATATAGTGATTCCTCAATTGCTGATCTACGGTTTAGACTTCAGACTAGTCCGTCTCTTTGGTTGGCTGCCATTTATACTTTGAGTGTCCATTCTATCCTGCTATATAACCCATACCTCTGGAATAGAGAAGATATGCGTTCATTCCATCCTCAAGGGCATCAATGCGAAGTGTATAGAACAGACTATGCCGAAATTTGAACTCGGCTCGTTGAATCTACATTCTGCACCGAAAAGTCTTACGCCTTTACCTTTCTAGAAAATAAGCACGTGAAATTTTGGTTTTTACCTGGTTAGAACACTGGTCTATAGTTTTTTCTGGGTAATACGCAATTATTGTAAACTACAAAGCTAGCCAAATCGACCGAGAAAGACTGCGCACCGCCTGTGCTCAAAATGACAATTTGTTTTGTTTTTGTTTTTTTTTTCAACATTTGGCCTGAAGGTTCTCTCTTAGCCTATAGTACCAACCATCGGTGCTAACGCATTCTACGCAACTATCTTGCCCATTAGGCAGGCTCTTTCAGAGGTCACAGACTTTTTTTTTTTTTTTTTTGTCAAAGTAGATGGAAATTTCATGCACAGACAAGGCCAAGCAAAAATGTCGCCTGTCACTTTTTTCATGGTATTTTATTTATTTCTTATTATTAGATGAAAATCCCTTAAATTCCTGCAGGTTGGTGTTAATGCTTTCACCCATCTTCCCTTCCCCCATCATTGCGTAGGCCAACTTGCCATTTTTTTTTTCAAAACCGCACCCATTAGCTTTATCTGCTGAATTTAAACAATAATTATTTCTACGGGTACAGCTGTGGGACATGTGGAGAATGTGAGGCCTTGTTCTCTCCACTTGCTCTCCTTCAACTTCCACTTGGCCCCACACCGTTCGAAGCCGGGCTGGACCAAGCTGTTGATAACAAGATAATGTCTTTCTTGTCATTTTTATGACTTTTATTCATTTTCTCCTTTTCAAGGAATGTGAATAACTGATTCATTTGTTTTGTTTTAAATGCTTTTTTGTCAACAATTTTCCGTGCTTTTGGCAAAATTTGATTCCGTTACATTTTTTAAGTTTTTCTGCCTTCATATCTTTCTTTCTTTCTTTTTTTCTTTCTTTCTTTTGGCGGTTTTCTTTTTTCTCCCTTTCTTTCTTTTCCTTTGACGGTTTTCTTTCTTTCTTTCTTTTTTTCTTTCTTTTGGCGGTTTTCTTTTTTCTCTCTTTCTTTCTTTTCCTTTGACGGTTTTCTTTCTTTCTTTCTTTCTTTCTTTCTTTCTTTCTTTTCAACTGACAGTTTTATTTCGTTCTTTCTCTGAAAGTTTTCTTTCTTTTCGTCTGGCAGTTTTCTTTCTTTCTTTCTTTCTTTCTTTCTTTCTTTCTTGTGACTTTTTCCTTCTTTTCCTTTGACGGTTTTCTTTCTTTCTTTTTTTCTATTTTTCTATCGCCTTTTTTTTCCGTCTGTCATGTTTCGTTCTTTCTTTACATTTCTTTTCTCAGCTTTCTTTCTTTCATTTTTCATTCTTTTTATTTTTCTTTCTCCTTTTCTTTCTCCTTTTCTTTCTGTCTGTCTGTTTTTCTTTCTTTCTTTCTTTCTTTCTTTCTTTCTTTCTTTCTTTCTTTCTTATTGTTTCTTGTTTATTTCTTTTTTCCCCCTAGAGTTTCTTTTCTTTCTGCTTTTTTTTTCTTCTGAAACTTTTTCAAATTATTTTCAACACTCGCATATCAGCATTATAGTAAAGAAACAATAAAACGCTGTGATATGCTGGAATATTTCCGGGGTGCTCTGTGATATTGAAGTTTCCTAACCCTACATGATCCTGGTATCAACATTTAATGAAAGTCATGTTTAAGCAATTGTGTGTCTCCTTTCGCAACAGTAGTTGTATAAAATTATTTATATTCTTTAAATAATGTTTTTGATAACGTCTTATCACTGACAAACACTTTTATTCTGGTTTTCAATCCACACCATACAGAGCAATGTCTCATGTCATTTTTTTTCACTGATAAACAAAGCAAAGAAGTGGTAGAGGTAATGCAGATGGGTAGATAATTAAATTAGAAGCCTATCCTATGAATTCTTCTTCTTCTATGTGAGTTGTCTATTGAGGACATAGCCGATCATGACTCTCTCCAAATTCTAATCCTCTATGGCACGTAGAAATGCTTGCTTTTTTTTTGTTTTTTTGTCTCATCTATTGCTACAATGGCCGGTCTTTTGAACAGGAGTAGAGGTGTATCTCTTGTTTCCTGTTTAGGACTGGCTTTTCGGTTCCTTCTAAGCTCGAAATTCTCTTGTTTTCACGATCTCAAATATCTTGACTTGTTTAAGTCTAGGATTAACCATTATCTTTTTCGGCTCTATCTTGAGTGGCTCTCGGGCCTTGTATTGAGTGGACATCAATGTAAAAAATTGAATTCAACGATCGTTTAGTTAACCCTTAGTCTTTCACTCTGTCTGTCTCTGCGTACGTGTGTGTGTATGGATCTTGGTAGATAGACATGTAAACGTTTTAAGTGTGTTCGACACAAATGAATGCGAGTACACGGCTATAAATACGTAGGTATAGTTATTGATCCATGAAGTTGTTTCGCTTTGCAGGTGGCCGCGTATAACTGTGACGGTAATATCACTTATCTTCTGTTGCTATAGAAATGTCAAAGGCCTTATAATCCTTGGTAAAAATACTTTGAAAATGTTTTGTAACTAAAAAAAAAAAAAAAACTGAACCGGAACTAAAAACTTCTCGCTTGGGTGGCTAACAATAAATTTGTCTTTAGCTGTTTTCTTTCTTTCTTTCTTTCTTTTTTCTTTCTTTCTTTTGTTTTTTGTTTAATTCATTCTCTCTTCATCTCTGTCCATTTCGCTTCAGTGTGCTTCGATTGAATAATTTATGAGCCTCTTCTTCAGGATTAGTTTCAAAATGGGTCCGGGGAATTAGTCTTCATCGTTTCAATGATTGGTCAATTGACTGAGAAACAATCGCTGGGTGGTAGTTGAGGGAAATGAGGCCGACACTAATAAATAGAAATAAAACAAATAAGAAGTAGATGGACAGATCGATCACCTGACAAACAGTACTGTAGATAGAGACCGTATTATTCAAAGACCTGCAGAAAGAGGCAACTAATACAGATAACCTTGTAGAAAACCAAAGATTAATACTTCAAGTTAGTCAGTTATTTGCCATGCGTGAGACACGCTTAGGCGATCATGTATCTTGTGACGAGGCATATTTTTTCCCGTAGTAGGTTGCCATTTCTTGCTGCACTAGACTAGCTGCCATCCAAAGCTATAGAATCCAGTCTGTCCTGCTATTTACCCATAGCTGGGGTGGAAAGAAGAGGATTAATTAATGAGTGTAATGAATTCGACTGGAATTCGAACTCGGCTCTCCGATTTCTCAATCCGAGCCGCTATCACAACACCGTGCCTCCTAATACATTAAGTACCGACAAATATTCTATTAACCTTGATTCCACTTCCAGAAAATCTGGAAAAAGTTATTTGTGTGTATTTAGATTATTGACTATTCTCCTGATCTTTATTGTTATTACCCTAACCTTACTCTGTGCTCTCCGGCTTTTCCCGAGGTGCTTTATCAGAGTAACTTTCATATAAATTTTTTGTGATGTTGGACGGCTTCGCTTGTCACTTTTGCTATGTCAAGCTAAAACTCATTATCCCTTCCAAAAATGCTTGTTATATTCGGGACTTCGTAGACGCCGGTACTAGTAGTAACGCTTTCTAATAATATCTGCACTAGTAATACTTGTCCAAGTAGTAATCGCCAAATAGTATAATGATCAGAAGAGAATTGTAATCTGTCTAGTAGTAGAGAGAGTGAACGTATAGCAATAGTGGATAGACAAGAAGAGTAAACAGTGCACCTATAGTGATCAAGCTACTTTCTATTTATTCACTTCCTTTTATGATCACTTTTATGATCTAGTTTCAAACCACAGTGTCGGCAACGACACTTACTCTTATACAACAAATTTCGAAATTAACCCTTTATTTAATCTATGGGACTGGATTGTTCTCATTCCGCTTTCCATGTTTAGGGCGTCTTGTTTGTACAGTCCAGTTATTTCCTGCTCTATTTATATTGATTCTTTGTCTGCAATGAGGATTAAACTCATGATTAGTATGTCCCACGCGGGAATAGCCTAGTGGATTAAAACGTTGGTTCGTGGATTTGGTGATATCGTAACTGTGACTGCTGAAGAACGCCGGGGAGCACAATGGCCGAAACGTTGTTAGAACAACAAAGATGAGAACCCTGTAAATAACTTAAAATGAATATAGAGCAGTCAGTGATGATTGAAACGATTTATGGGGGACACAAGGTTTCTTTAAAAGAATGCTAGAACCCTAACCATAACCCTAACCCTATTGTTTAAATTAAAATAGCCTATTATATTAAAGCGTTGGTTTGTGAGTTTCGTGACATAGTGTTTGTGAGTTCAATCCCTGGGCCGGGTGGTGCAGACTCAGTTAATACTGAGATGCCATAACAAGAAAAAAGCGGGGTTTCCCCATACATAGAGAGCGAGTTTGGAACAGTCTAACCAAATAGATTAAATAAAGGGTTCAGTTCGAAATTCCCTGAAGGTTATTCAGATCGCCATGCATCCTGATGGAGGCCGCAGAGAACAAAGGCCAAGAAGTTGTGATAGCAACAACAAAGATGAAGACAATAATCCGAGTGCAAGATGAACCTTAAATATGTGTCACTAATTGTCAGCTGCTTCCTAATATTATGTATAGTTGTTAATTAACTAATTGCTGGCAAGGTCCTTACTAAAAATGATCATAGTAATTGTTATTAATTGTTATTTCATAGTAATTGAAGACTCGTGTGTTCGCCCTCAGTGGTGGATATCGGTCGCATGGCTACCAGTCCTGGTTTAAGGGTCACCTTGTCCAAGGGTAAATAAGAATAGCTCCCCGTCCTAGACATATAGTTTTTATTTTACTAAAATGCCTAAACAAAAGAAAATGTTTGAAGAACTAAATAATAATTGTATCATCAATAAAAAAAAAATAAAAATAATAATTGTATCATCAATAAAAAAAATGACAAATGACAAACAAACAAAACGGGAATTTACGAAAAATGCTTGAAAAAGTTCTGAAGAAAAAAATATTTTTTAAATCATTTCACCTCAAGCAAGGCAATAAAGCCACTAAGACTGAAGAGGTTATTGAATGTTAGAGAATATGAGAAAAAAACTACTATTAAGGAGAGAGGACAATAAAAGATTAAGACAGATGTTAACGACTGACATTGCCTTTAAACTTTTGTAGACGGGGAAGATGACTGAGGAGAGTTCTACAAGCGAGAAGTGTATCAGAAGAAACTATTAGCATAGAACTTACGGTTACATCTAGCCTTTTCAACTGTAAAATGATGAGACCTAGCTGCCAATCTAGTAATACGCTTAAATTCATAAAGTCTAGCTACCTAAGACGAAAGTTCATCAGAAAAATTACCATGAATGTATTTATAGAAAAGTCACAGGAAAGACACGTTACGGCGAAGCCGAGATGCCAGGTCAGGAACAATAATATTGCAGATTCTTCTTCAGATTTTCTCAAGAATCTCTAGTAATATAGTAGGAGTACCGGGTCAAGTGCGGTAGCAATATTTATAAGCATGGACGGATGGTAGACGTATAAATATGAAAGATAGTTTCTGACGAGAAAAATTGTCTGGCACGGCCAAACCAACTTTCTTAGCTGCAGACTTGATTCAATATACGCTTCTATTCAATATATTGTTTAGAGTTAATTGAAAAGGGTTCTGAATTTCGTATATAGCAATGAACAGGTGTTCCCTCAAAGAGGTCCCTTGACTTGAACGCGTACAATGGCCTAAGAAAAGTTTTTAGCCAGGAGAAATAAACTGCATCCAATTTCAAAATTTAATTACGTAATTCAAACTCAACAAATAATTAGTATTTGGAACTAGTATAGAGTAGGTCCTCCATTTGCTAGTTTCAGTGCTTGTATTCAATTTTTCATGGATTTGATCAAGTTACCAACAATCGTCTGATCCATATTTTACCTCTCCTTTGGCAATGTATCTTTAAGGGTTGTTACTGACGTAATTTTGGTCGCACGATCTCGAAGTTTTCAGTCAAGGTACTCCCAAATGTACTGTATTGGACTCATGTCAGGCATTTGGGTTACCATGGCAGAGATTTGATTCCTTGCGATTCCTTCTTGGTCTTTTCTACTCTCATCGTATCACTTGGCCCTCTATCTTCGAGATAAAAGTAGATACTCTTGTCAATCTGACTGGGTTCAAGTAGTGGGAGTAATCCTTTCTCTAATATTTGACAGTATTTTAGACCATTCAACCGCTCGTCAACAAGAATCAGCTCAGATTTCCCCCCAAACCAGGCAGCGCCCCAACCATTACTTCAATCCCTCCATGTTTCACGGTCGCCTGCTGACAACAAATCTCATTCTGATTTCTCCAAACGTAAACCAATCTCGAATTAGAATATTGACAGAATTTACCTTCATCTGACTAAATTACAGACGGCCAAAATTCACTTTTTTGCTCTCGAATTCTCTCGCCCAGTCCATAAAAAGATTCCTGTTAACTTCTGAAATCAAGGGCTTCTTTCTTGCAACTCTTCTTTGATAGCCTAGCTCTTTCAGAGTCTTCCTCACCGCAT